GCATGTGCGCGTTCGTGAACAATGAAGGAGAGAAGTACTAGCTCAGACAAAGCGCGCATTATGCTAGCAGCCCTGACACACTGCATATCCTGCCACTCGCCTCCACTAAGCACAAGCTGTGTCATGGCCACTTGTAAATGCGTAGTTTCTATGGCCAGCCACCTTTACCCAAGGGATCAAGACTAAACGTGAAGCAGGACGCCCATGATGAGCGGCAACCAATTTTTTCATTCGTAATTTGCACGCGCAACCAAAGGAAAAGGAAGAAAACGAGGAAGAGAGGGCGGGGGATATATGTATATATATGTATGGATGGATGGATGTATATATGTACACACACACACATGTTTAATATTGTATGTGTGGTGTGTGTGTGTGAATATATATATATATATATATATATATATATATATATATATATATATATATATATACATATATATACATATATATACATATATATATAAATATATATATATAACATATATATATATACATATACAAATATACATATATATATATATGTATGTATATGTATGTTTTATAATAATACATATATATATACATATATATATATAAATATATATACATATACAAATATACATATATATATGTATGTATATGTATGTGTATATATATATATATATCACATATACAAATATATATATACATATACATATACAAATATATATATACATATACAAATATATATACATATACATATACAAATATATATACATATACATATACAAATATATATATATATATACATACACATTTACAATATATATACATATATACATATACATATACAAATGTATATATATACATATATACATATACAAATATATATATACATATACATATACAAATATATGTATACATATACATATACAAATATATGTATACATATACATATACAAATATATATGTATACATATCATATACAAATATATATATACATATACATATACAATATATTATATTATAATATATATATATATATAATTATATATATTGTATATGTATATGTATACATATATTTGTATTATGTATATGTATACATATATCTGTATATGTATATGTATATTATATATTTGTATATGTATATGTTATATAATTTGTATATGTATATATGTATATATATATATATATATATATATATATATATATATATATANATATATATTTTATTTAAGTTAGTTCAGTATATACATAATTATTAATCGCATACATGTATTTTATAGAGTGGTATGAGTGTATCCTATTATCTATTCTATCTATACCTCTCTCTCTCTTCTCTCTCATCTTAAAATTCTCTCTCATCTCTCTATATTATTATATATTATATATTATATATATATATATATATATATATTTACATGTGTGTGTATGTGTATGTGTAAATATGACTATAGGAAAAGACTCTGATTTGGCATCAGTCAGAGGCTTGCCTTAAAGAAAACAACGTAGTAAAATAAATAAGACTTCTATGGTGTCGTTATTTCATCCCAGCACCAGATGCAGGATAAAAAAAATTTCTGTGTGTGTGTATGTATATGTGCATGTGTGTGTGATACTATCCATTTACTTAGATGTAACCATACTCCTTATATTCGCCTTAGCATCCTTGAGATACCTCGTAACGGAATATGAACATAACTGATCTTCATACTTCCAGCAGTAAACAAATTTAAACATAATGGTTTTTCTTCTTAGATCTAGTTAAATTAATGGGCACTGTGAATGCACCATAAATGTATCAAGAGCTGTGTGAGAGTAAGCGTACTACTATGGATATATTCCACAAGGAGCCGCAGAAAATAGATGGGTTGTTGGGCCCGAGAAGTGGGTCTTACAAGAGTATGGTGAGCTGGTTATATGGCAGACAACCAAACATCTTGATTCCTTTGATAAAAGAGCAAACACGTACTGATCCTGCTCGCTTGCTCACGGCAGGGAGTATGCTTGTCCCATTGTACAGAGGTGTGAGGAAACCCATGAATCACGTATTTAGCACGAATAGTCTGTGGTGAAGAAGGAAGTGTTACAGCAATACAGCTATTGCGGAAGGGGAAATGCAACACAACACTGGTATGTCTGGTGAGGCAGGAAAGATGAATAAACAGGTAAGGCAATGAACATGCGTATATATGTATCTATATAACAGATGTGTGTTTGACAAAAAAACATGTATTATATGAATCGTACAAATTAGGGTATTATATAGAATATTACAGCAGATCCACAGAATAACGTGAATATACATATATTTAGTAATGTGAAATAGAAATAGCTAGGGAACACAACAAACGGTGTAAGGCCTGTGCCACCCGCTCTCATAATGTATTTTCAATATTCAGTTAACAATATATGTATGTTATTTCAAATGACACTATCACCGCTCGTATCTTCATGTATACAACCGCCATGATTTTACAAGTCTGCGACAGGACACATTAGATGCGAAAACCAAACCAGGCTCCTCTCCCGGGTCCCTTTCTTCAGTCCGTCTTGTCCATTCGTCTTCCAGTACCTGTTTTAACCGACCTTCCTCCCTTTGTCTGTATTTGAGTATAAGCCGTCACCTACGTGCGACGCATCAGACAGACAGACAGACAAAAATCCCAACTCATTTCAAGCCGTCACCTACGTGCGACGCATCAGACAGGCAGACAAAAATCCCAACTCATTTCATAAACTGACTCGCTTGTACACCTCTCCAATAAATTCAAGCTAGAAGATAGCCATCTGCACCTGCCGTGTTGCTAGACATCAGCGCCTGTCTGTCTCTGCCCGCCACTGCAAATACAATCAGCGTACTTACAAGCCTACAGTATTGATATTCTTAATTGAGTATTGAATGCAAGGATTACTGAAAATATACTGAGGGAGAGGATGACAAAAGCCTTACACCATGCATGTGTAACCAAGCTGTATCTATATCATATTACTGAAATTTGTATGCTTACGTTATTCTATATGTCTGTTGTAACATTCTTTATTATGTAAGCATATATATTTCAGTAATGTGATTGATGTAGCTCGGTTACACAGTTGTGGTGTACAATACCTATGTACTCACTGGGTTTACTTTTATTCCCCCCGTGTGTTTCAGATTCCATAAAGAAGGAAGTATTAATAGCAACATGATGAATAAAGAAGTATATTGAATATTGCGATATTCCAAAAGAACGGGCGGGGGAAAGAGGCAAAAAAAAATATAACAGGTCAAAACTCAACTAAAATACCTACCACTGTATAAGAAATCGAATTCCTCTGTGAAAACAGGAATCAGACACCAACTATTTCCTTAAGCCTAATCCCTCGCCATAAAATAACCTTGAGACTTCAGTCGAGTCTTTTTTAAATCCACGTACATCGCTTTCCTACATATATTTTATTCAGACTTTGGGTATATTCTTTACTCTATATGCCCTGTGAGGAAGATCCATTTAAAAGGATAGTGGACTTAAAGGCAAGACGATATACCAGTTTTCTTCTCAGTCTTCCTTTCTGGGTTAGTATATGGATATATATGTGTGTGTGGTGTATATATATATGTGTGTGTGTGTATTTATATACACACACACACACACACACACACACACACACACACACACACACACAACACACACATACATATATATATATTATATATATAATATATATATATATATATATGTGTGTGTGTGTGTGTTGTGTGTGTGTGTGTGTGTGTGGTGTGTGTGTGTGTGTGTGTGTGTACACATATATATATATATATATATATATATATATATATATATATATATATATGTATATATATATATATATATATATATATATATATATATATATATATATATATATATGTGTGTGTGTGTGTGTGTGTGTGTGTGTGTGTGTGTGTGTGTGTGGATGTATGTATGTATGTATATATATACATGTGTGTGTATATATATAGAGATATATATGTATATATACAAGTTTATATATACATATATGTGTGTATATATATATATTATATAATATATATATATATATATATATATGTGTGTGTGTGTGTGTGTGTGTGTGTGTGTGTGGTGTGTGTGTGTGTAGTGTAAATTATATATATATATATATATATATCCTCTTTCTATTCTGTCAACATATTTCATAAACCTAGTTTGACCATACTGTATCCAAACTAAATTAATTGTAGCATAAACATACCTCGTGTACTAATAAGACATTAATGCTTCATAATCTTGTTAGAATAGATAGCTTCGCCTCTACTGGTTTCTTTCATAACCCCCTTCGTCAAGAGAAGACAAGTAGATATGTAACACATATCCCCATATTAGATTACGTTATCAGGACATGAAAGGCAAATGCCACAGACGAGTGAAGACTATTCGTATATGATAACATTAGTGGAAACTGCATTTTATTTCTGATAATACACCTCACGAAACCTAGTTTCTTGCTAATTAGTAGAATTCTAAATCTTTCTCCGGGAGACAACTTGAGAACCGATTAGAAATATCAATAAAATCAGATTACCAGGTAGCCGGATCGGGTTCCGCCAGTTCTGAATGAAGGGCGACGCCCAATAACCAGATTTTTTTTACTCTCGTTTCAAGTCGCATCGAACTATTTATTGTTTATACATCTAAGATAACTTTAAATCCTGTTGCTGTAAAAAATGAAATTGATATATATATCCCTCCTATTTCGATGCAGCGTTATGAAATAGTTTAATTACCAAGGCTAGCATCTCTACTACGGCGCATGCGCACAGGTAAGCACTCCGTAAACAAAGACTTGTCCGATTGTATGTTTGAATTCCTACATTCCGATTAATGAAATGTCGCATAAGCCCAGATACTAACTTTTATGACTGACATCTACCGAACTGAATACTGTCCAGATGTAACAGTTTCTCCAAAAGTGTATCCATATGTTCATATGAGATAAATAATCCCGAGAACAGACTCGAGGCGCAGGCCACCCTCTGAGTGTCCGAATACCGCCTCGTCACATGACAGGAGGACTTCCAGGAACGTGTTTAGTGAAGCGCCTTGCGAGGGTCCCAAAGAAGCAGAATCTTGCTTGAACCGAGAAAATGACTGCCGTGGCCCCTGTAGAACACAGCACAGTGCCGAGGGAGTTGCAGTTCAAAGTGCTAGTGATTGGGGAATTTGGTGTAGGTAAGTCATTGTGCCTACAGGTGTGTGTGTGCGTGTTAGGTGACAGGTGAGTTGGTCAAGGCAAGAGAATTTGTGTTATTGTTACTGAGAGAACGCTGTGTTGAAGGAGGCGTTGAATTTACGATTTTTTTCGCGGGACAATCGAGACACTTGGAAGAAAACAAGGAGACTATTGTGTGGTAATTACGCTACGTTGTGCAGTGTAAGGACGGTTGCCGTATTGACGTTGTGAATAAATGAAAGTTTCCCCTGGAAATTGAATCATGGGAAAGGGAAAGTGCCTCTTATCACAAACAGATTGATGTGCCATTTGGTTGTTATTGTGTTTATTTAAACAGAAACATAGTTTCAAATTTGCTTTGTATTTGCATCATTGTAAATTGATTTATATACTATTTATAAGCATTCAACATTGAGTTAATATGAGATACCCTCTTGAACTTTAAGATGATAAAAGTAGTAAAGAGTATGTGCATAATTGGTATTTTTTATACACATTATGTCAAAGTAATTAAATGTAAAAGTACTTAACTGATTCAATTAAGATTATGAATAGGAGGAATTATAATTAATGCTTAGAGATATATGCATGTTTTAAATATCCACAATGTCATTTGAGATATAGCTGCAAGAAATTTATCATAGGATATGTTTTTGCTGAAGGGATTTTAAAATTCTTTGATTATGTACTGACATCTGGTGGAACAGTGAAAGTAAAAAGAGACATTTCTTTTAATTTTAACCTGCATTTAGTATCCAGTTTGGAATGGGACCTTTGAAATATTTGTCATAGATATTTTATGAATGAGTAATATTACCATATATTAGTATAGATTTTCCATCTTGAATGTAAATAATATGAATATTTAATATATATATTACCAACATATCATTAGAACGAAGAAAATGTCAACTCAGCTGGGTTAACCTTGATAAGATAAGATAACATATATCTTTAAAGTGTAAACTTTTACAACATTATAATCACTACTGGTAGTGATGAAGAAGACAAGTATGTGTTAGGCACTTGGACATTTCTTATTCTGTGAGTGTCAGTTGCAGCTGTAGCGATGATATTATAATTTTTTTCACCTATCACACTATCCTTTGTACAAAATTATAGTTTTGTGCAGAAAAGAGCAAAAATCAGCAGGACAAAAAAAGAGGTGATCTGGGACATTCCCAATTTTAAAATGATGGTGGTTCCTACAAGATTTTGACAGAGCTAACTTCCACAAAACTATAATTTTGTACAAAGGATAGTGTGATAGGTGAAAAAAATTATAATATCATCGCTACAGCTGCAACTGACACTCACAGAATAAGAAATGTCCAAGTGCCTAACACATACTTGTCTTCTTCATCACTACCAGTAGTGATTATAATGTTGTAAAAGTTTACACTTTAAAGATATATGTTATCTTATCTTATCAAGGTTAACCCAGCTGAGTTGACATTTTCTTCGTTCTAATGATATGTTGGTAATATATATATTAAATATTCATATTATTTACATTCAAGATGGAAAATCTATACTAATATATGGTAATATTACTCATTCATAAAATATCTATGACAAATATTTCAAAGGTCCCATTCCAAACTGGATACTAAATGCAGGTTAAAATTAAAAGAAATGTCTCTTTTTACTTTCACTGTTCCACCAGATGTCAGTACATAATCAAAGAATTTTAAAATCCCTTCAGCAAAAACATATCCTATGATAAATTTCTTGCAGCTATATCTCAAATGACATTGTGGATATTTAAACATTGCATATCTCTAAGCATTAATTATAATTCCTCCTATTCATAATCTTAATTGAATCAGTTAAGTACTTTTACATTTAATTACTTTGACATAAT